GGTGGTGGAGTCTCCTTCTCTGGAAATGTTCCAAACCCACCTGGATGCCGTCCTGTGTGACCTGCTCTGGGTGACCCTGCTGGTCAGGGGGGTTGGACTGGATGATCTGCTGAGGTCCCTTCCAACCCCCACCATGCTGTGATTCTGTGAAGGAGAAAGGGCATTTCCCCGTTCATGGTTTGGCCTTTGGGACTAACACATTTTTCTTCAGAAATTCTGGTTTCAGGGACATCTCTTCATGGCTCCAGAAAGGAGAAAGCGGGCACATGCTTTGTAAAGTCTGGGGGTTGGTTATCTTTCAAGGCGAAGCTGTTGGAAAGGTGAACAGAGGCACCTATACACTGACTCTGGCCTTCTGGGGGCAAAAGACCAAGGCAACCCCTGCCATCTGCCCTCCACAGCAAAGACCAAACCAAGCTGGAGTCTCTTGCGGGTGGAAACCTGAACATACAGATGTTTTCCTGTCCCAGGTGCCACCTGAGAGTGAACAAGGAGGCAGGAGCAGCCTGAAGGAACCAAGCAGAGTGCCGAGGTTCTGCCCCCACCTGATGGACACGTGCTTATGGGGAAACACCCCAGCTCCACCCTGGAGCCTTCAGATATAAAGTAAACCCAGCGACAAGGAGTTTCCCAATTCTAATTTTGGCAGTTAGCACCACCAGGCGCGGAATACCAAAGAGATGAGTTTTGCCTGCTTTCTGCTTATTACACCGCTGAGTTAACCCCACATTTCTGTTTACCTCAAGCCCATCGCCTGGGGCAGTTTCAAGGTTGCACCGATGCCTTTGCAAAGCTCACACTGGAACGGGCACGAAGCCATCGTTTTGTTCTGGGGAGCGATGGAAGGGAGAACATCACAGCTTGGCCCACGCGCTCCTTGTGGTCCCTGTGGCTTGGGGCTGGGCTGAAGTCAGAGCCTGGCCCCAGCTCCGCCTTCCTCCTCTTTTTAAAGGTTGTAAAAAGCAGTCGCTGTCAGTTCTCTGCTCCACTGCTTCCTCTTCTGAGTCTTTGTGAAAGGAGAAAGCACTTCATGTCTTGGCGTGAACTCCTTCCCCCCTGGCTGGTGATCGTAGCGGGACTGACGGGCATCGTGCTGCTTTGTGTCTCCACTAAGGATGTGCCCATCGCCCCTCTCAGCACCAAGGTAAGGGTGTCTGCCTGCCCAAGGGGAGGCCAAACTGGGGGTCAAGTGGGGCAATAAGCAAAGGACCTTCTCCTCATCTGTGGAGCTGCTTCTTAAGGAGCACCTGCCTGTTTCCTTGTGCAAGCCGGGCATTTAAACTGGTGTTTTGTTGCTTTTTACATTTACTGAGTTATTTCCTAACCTGAAACAACAAACTGAGGATGGGACTAGAAGAAGACTGCGAGGATGGGTTGGCATCCTTCAACATGCTGTAGCTTTTCAAACCAAAACCAAGGCAACCTCTTTGGGTGGTCAGGGAAATACAGGGTGGATAAGGTCCATGGATCAGCAGAGATGCTCACCACAGGCTGAGGAGAAGCGGCCCATGTCAGGAGCTACCCCAGAGCAGCAAGGGACCAGTGGTGTCAGTAAAAAAAAAGAGCTAGGTCCCTCTTGAAAGTCAGTAGGAATTTGGCCCTGAACTGCTGCAAAAAATCTTCCATGTCTTCTTCTCTGCTGTCCTCTCTTGATTTTAACCAAAGAGCCAGCCTGCTCTGCACAGCAGGGTCAGACCAAGGGGTTAATTCCCATCTGCTCTGCCTCTTGATGTGCCCACCGCTGAGGTGAGAGCGGTGGCACGCTATGGTTTAATTGAACAGAAGTAGGTTAACCTGCGTGTTTAGAGATACTAACCCGCCTCCACATTCCTCTCAGAAACAAAACTGGATTAAAAAAACCCCACAAAACCCTTATTGCTGCATGCAATGTCCTTCCCTGGTGTTGAGCTGGGGCAGAAATGTGGTGATCCCTTCTCCTCCCTCACGCTCTCAGCAGCAGCCTCTCATTTTGTGAATGAGAAGAAAAACAAATAATCAAGGTTTCTCCACCAATACCATTAATTTCTTCCTCTTCTGTGGCAGCCAACATGTCTCTGCGAGAAATACGAGCTGTCACTCATGTAGGAGGATGCCAGCAGGCTTGGGCAGGGTGCTCCATCCTCCTTCCGCATTTCTGCTCCAGCTCCAGTCCCACCAGCTCCCAGCCCAGGCTCTGTGTCTGGTGCAGCTGGGAGCTCCCAGGAAGGCAGCAGCAGTCAGCTTTGCTCCCAGGCTGCAGCCAGGTTCTGTTTTGTGCTAAAACCCTTCTGATGTTGTTAACATCAACCTCTCAGGTGGGAGGTTTCTCCTCCCACTCAAGTCACAGCTACAGCTATTTCTGTGCAAGATACAGCTTAGATCGTGCGCTACCACGTACCTCCCAGAGCTCACCAGTTTCTTTCCTGTCTGTGTAGGAGATGTCCCAGTTTAGAGGGGGAAAGGAGAAGACCCTGGGCTAGCACCAGGGCTATTCTGAGTGTGGGGACATCCAGAGCAGTGCTGCAGGGTATGAGTAGCCTGTCATTTCCTAACCCTGACATATGAGGTGCAGCTCAACAAGGCTCAGTCAGCAGCAAGTACACCAGATGCTGGGCTGCAAAGAGACTAGGAAAGCCCTCGGCCTCACTGCTAGGAAACAGGAGAGCTGTCAGTGGACAGGGTGTTGAGAAGCTCCTGTTGGTTGCTGCTGTTTCCACCAAGACATTATCTCGTTCTCTGGGGGGGATGCTGTGTTGGGCAGTGTATGTACTGGTTGGTCCCAAGTGTGCTTGCAGCTCCTACAGGTCTGGCACGCATCGAGGCAAACCCAGCCCATGTCACATCATCTTTGCAACGGAGCATCAGACCAACATGGGAGTCTTGGGTTCCTTGGAAGTAGGAGCAAGCCACAGTCCTCCAATTCCTGCACGAAAGCTTTATCACATCAATCCAGCAGCAGTTTGAAGCCCAGAACCAGTCGAGAGTCTGTATAGTGCCAACTCCCATTGCTTTAGGACCTGTTTTTCCTGAGCTCCAGGTGGCTCAGCTCTCACTAGAAGCCCTCTGCCTGGTTTCAGGAACTTTCTGAATGATGTCTGATGAGTTTCTGGGTGTCTCTCCTGCTCCTCCTCATGTATATTCAGAAATGCAGATGGTTCCCTGCAAATCCACATCATCTCCTGGCTTCACCCTTTCTTGGAATGTAAAAATCTAACACAAATACCGCGGTGCAGGCCTGTTGGGTTCCCCTACGTCACGTTGAGTAACCCTACAATAACAAAGCAGCATGAATTCAGTGGTCTTTATCCAGAATGTTTTTGTGGTTTTCCAGTATGGGATTGTTCTGGATGCTGGCCCATCCCGCACCATCCTGTTCGTCTACCAGTGGACCACCATCAAGGCAAACAAGACCGGGGTGATCAGGGAATTTAGTTCCTGTCCTGTGCAAGGTAAGGTGCCTGATTCATGCTCGGTGGTCTGTGGGACAGGTATGGGATGGATGGAGACCCAGAGACAAAGATGATGAAGGGAGTGGAGCATCTTCCTGATGAGGAAAGGCTGAGGGAGCTGGGGCTCTTTAGCTTGGAGAAGAGGAGACTGAGGGGTGACCTCATTCATGTTTATAAATATGTTCAGGGTGAATGTCAGGAGGATGGAGCCAGGCTCTTCTCAGTGATGCCCAATGGTAGGACAAGGGGCAGTGGGTGTGAGCTGGAACACAGGAGGTTCTGCTTCAACTTGAGAAGAAACTTCTTTCCAGTGAGGGTGCCAGAGCCCTGGGACAGGCTGCCCAGGGAGGGTGTGGAGTCTCCTTCTCTGGAGACATTCAAGACCCGCCTGGACGCCTTCCTGTGTGATCTCATTGAGGTTCCTGCTCTGGCAGGGGGGTTGGACTGGATGATCTTTTGAGGTCCCTTCTAATCCCCAACATTCTGTGATCTGTTCATGGACTATTGCTGGAATTTCCTTGGCTCCAGTATCATCTAGCTGTACACAGAAACAGCGGTGATGGTGAAGCACAAGCTGGTTATTTTCAGCATGGGTCTTCTTGATAGAGGCAGATTTAACCCTACACAGCTGGACATCAGAGCACTTGGCAGCAGCAGGTGACAGGTTTATGAACTGTTGCAGAAGCACATGGAGAGGATGGGGCTGGTCCTGTTGTCCACATGGATCTCAGTGGCAGAGCTGAGGTTGGTGAGCTTCTCACCCAGGCCAGACAGTGAACAGCAACAGAGACAAATCTGGTCTCTCCTGGTATCTCCTGCCTCCTCCTGACTGTACTCTGGGCAGTGAGTGGTGTAGCTCCAGGACAACAGAGGTGCAGAGACTCCAAACCCCTGTGTGCAGTTTGACAGCACGAGTTCAGCTTGGTTTTAGGCCTCACATTTTGAAGAATATCGGGGTCTTCCTCACTTGTTTGAATCAGTTTGGCCCTGCCAAAGCCAGCTGAAAGGGTTTCATGCATTAATGATGGGGTTTTCCTTCCCTATCTCTCAATCTTGCTTTGATATTGAAACCTGATTATAGCAGATGCTGGGAAACCCTGAACTCTCAGTAGCAGTGTGCTGTGGGAGAGCAGCTACACAACAAGCAGGGAAGAGGGTTTGTGCCCTTGTAGACTGGAAGCAACACAAACCACATACAGAAGATACAACAAAGGCTCCCTGAAACCTTGTACATATCCCTTCATTGCTGCCACATTCACTGGCTGGGTTAAAAACAGCAACTGGAGCTCAGTGCAGCAGTTCAGCAGCAGAAACAGGAGGTCCTGGCAGGTCTCTCACCCAGAAGTGAGAAGTTGACCTCTGTCTTCATGGCAGTGTGGTCACAGCTGTTGAGTAGCTGTTGGCAAGCTACAGCCAGGAAGGCAAGTGGGCCAGAGGATGGGGAAGTGGGGCTCTTTCTGGGGAGTAGTTCAAACCCAACATTTAAGATCCCATTGGATCTTGCTGGAACGATGAGTCAGGGCTTGCACACAGCTTCGCTCTGCACAGTGCCAGCTTCCTCTAGAGCAGAGGTGTCTTGCTTGCAGGCGCAGGGCTCAGAAGCCACTCCTGCCAACCCAAGAGGAAGTGGCTGGGGGG